GGGGTGGGTGGGGAGAAAAGTGCAACAATGAATGAATGGAATTCCAAAATCTCTGTAGATGTTCATTGGAATTAATAATAATAATAAAAATTAAAATTAAAAAAGTTCTGAAGAGCATAATATTAGTCTGAAGACTAAGATAAGCCTGATTCATGTGGTGGTCTTCACAATTACTTGCTATGTATCAGAGAGATGGACAATAAACAAAGTCGAAAGAAGAAGAATTGATGTCTTTGAGTTGTGTTGTTGGAGAAAAGTATTGAATATACCATGGACTGCCAAAAGAACGAACACGTTTGTCCTGAAGAGGGTGAAACCAGGCTGTTCTTCGGAGGCATGGATTTTGAAGCTCCGTATCACATACTTTTGGCATGTGGCCAGGAGGGAAGAGTCCTTAGAGAAGGACATCATGATTGGGAAGTTGGGGGGTCAGGGAAGGAAAGGAAGACCCTGGATGAGAGGGATTAGCACAGTAATTGTGGATAATGGGGGATAGTGTTCTGGAGACAGTGAGACTGGCTCAGGGTAAAGCAGAGTTTAGAAGTATTGTACAGTGGGTCACTATGAATCGCAGGTGACTCGATGGCACATAACAACAACATGAAGAGCTGGTCAGGAAGGAATCTCGGTGCTTTATTAATCTTAAATTCAGGCTCCTTTGTCTTATCCCCTTCTTTAGCGTGTCACCTCCTAGAGGGCAATGTCCAGAGACTCTCATCACCTGTATCTGTACTGTATCTATACTGTTTTAGTGCCATGCTTGGCATGTAATACTCACTCACCTTTCTCCCATGGAGCAGCTGGTAGATCTGAACTCCCAGAGCACCACCTTTTAGGTTAACAGCACAACTCTATGGAGTACACCACTCTAGCTCCCTTGGTATGGAATAAAGGCTCAGCAAAACATATGGGTTGTTAAACTAGTCAGATGAGGGATGAACTTCAAAGAATGTGTGATCTAATGATTGGCAATTTGAGATTCATAGCCCAGGAAATCAGAACCTAAATTCTGGTTCTAGCATTACCTTAATACCTGATGTTGGACGGGCTATTTGCTGGGAGGAAGAAGAAGAATTGATGCGCGTGAGTTGTGATGCCAGGAGAACAAATTAGTACATCTTGAAAAGGGTGAAACCAAGCTACTCCTTGGAAGCAAGGATTTTGAAGCTCCTTCTCACATACTTTGGGCATGTGGCCAGGAGGGATCAGTCTTTGGATAAGGACATCATGCTTTGAAGGGTGGAGGGACAGCACAGGAGAAGAAGGCCACAGATGAGATGGATTGACATGGAAACTGGGGCAGTGGGATTAGATGTGTCAGAATCAGTGAGCCTGGCTCAGGACTGGGCACAGTTTAGAGGTGTTGTACATCATGGGAAACTCGATAGCACATAACAACAACAATCCTATAATGAGAGCAATTTTTCTTTCTCTTAAAGTGCTATTGAAAATGAAAAGACACTTCATTTATAATATGTTTTGCACAAAATCTGGTGAAGAGCAACTCTCATGTTTAAAGCACCAACTACGCATGGAGGCAGAATTAAAAATGACAGAGGCAGTGAATGTGGGCAGGTCCTTCTATGAACCACGCTCAGTTTCTGGACCTCAAGCACATCCTGATAGGATATTTAGCTTCTTAAGGAAAAGGAGATATTTCCCTTGCTGATGCTTGTGAAAGAATCAAATGCATATTTAAGCAAGGAGGGGAAGGGAAATACTCCTCTTACATGATCTTGGCAATATCTGTCTTCTGGGCACATCTCTGAGGCATTTTCAGTGTCTCACCCTCCTTAATCTAGCTCTAGAAATAGATGTCTCTTACCCAGCACTCCCAAAGCCAGGCCTCCCAGGGCTATTCCCATGGCTCGGCCCCTCTCATGGTCATCCGTGTAGACACTCGCCAGCATTCCCAGACCTGAGAGAGAGTGACAGATGCAGTTAACATATGGATATTCACTAATTGCCTCTTTCACAAGGTCCTTAGCCTCTGTGCTTTTGTATCTTTAAGGATAATCTTAGTAAGAGTTTCTACTTGAGGAGTTTTATCAGATTTTACCTAAAGTGTTTTATAAATAGAGTCTCCACCACTTCCCTAAATTCTCACAATGCTCAGACCTTCTGTTTAGAGAACTAAAGGGCTCAGAAAAGCAAGACTCTACGAAGGGTAACATAGAATAGAACTTTTCAATTATATTGCATGCTATATCACTTTACCATTTCTCCAGCACATTCCACTTAGAGAATAAATTACAAGGTATGGGCAGAGGAAGAAAAACTATGAACACTCATTATTTCATGAAGGTGCCAAGAAGCAGTATGAAAGCACTATGTACCTGAAAGAGTGTGATCTAAATGGCAAAAGGCCACTGTGTCATTTCAGCCAAATCACACAAACTCTCTCAGATCTACTCACTTATGTGTAAAAGATAGACTTGGTGAGATGAAATTAAATAATGTAGAATTTTTGCCCCTGAATTATGGTATTGCAAAGAAAATTAAATAGAAGAACAAACACATCTGTGTTGGAACAAGTAAAGCCAGTATATTCTTCAGAAGTGAGGATTGTGAGAGTTCATCCCACATATTTTGGACATAGTATCAGAAGGGAACAGTCCCTGGAGAAGGACATTGTGCTTGCTAAAGCCGAGGAGCAGTGAAAAAAGAAGAAAACCCTTATCAAGATAACTAGATACGGTGGCTGCAACAACAGACATAAACATGGCTGGAAGGATGGTGCAGGGTCATTCCATTATACAATGGGGTCATGGTGTGTTGAATTGATTTGGGGGCACCTAACACGGAAAATTGATGCCTTTGAGCTGTGATGCTGGAGAAGAGCATTGAATATACCATGGACTGCTAAGAAAACAAACAAGTTCATCCCAGAGAGGATTAAACCAGGCTGCTCCTTCAAGGCAAAGATACTGAAGCTTTGTTTGATATACTTTAGACATGTTTCAAGGAGGGACTGGTCCTTGGAGAGGGACGTCAAGTTAGGGAGAGTGGAGAGACAGTGCAGGGGAGGAAGACCCTCGATGAGATGGACCGATTCTGTGACTGTGGTAATGGGGGTGGGTGTGTCAGAGAAAGTGAGATTGGTACAGGATAGAGTAGGGTTTAGGGCTGTTGTACATAGATAGGGTCACTATGAGTTGCAGGCGACGCGACGGCACATAACAACAAAAACAAGTGACAATAGGTTGTATACTGTCAGGATATTACTAGTAGCCTTTTCAGATATTACTCACAGTATAATCATTAAAGGGAGCTCTAGTGGCTTATAGGTAAGGAGTTGCCCTGCCAACTCAAAGGCAGAGAATTAGAATCTCCGAGCTGCTCTGTAGGATTAAGGTGGCCAATCTCCATTTATGTGACTTACCAATTCTGAAAGTCCACTAAAGGGTCAGCTATGAGTCAACTTCTGACTCAAGAGCACAAAACAACAACAATAACTATCATTGTTGTTTGTATGAAATCTTAAGAGGACACAGAGGAAGAACATAGAGTGGCACTGCATAATGCTCTGGCCTGTTTTGTTGCTTTAATCTAGGATTGCTCTGACCTGCACTGGCTGCATCTTAATATTACCAGAGGAAGGTTATGTCAGGCATAGGGATTATTTGCCCTGTCAGGACTCTATAATGATCTTGTTTCTGCCACAAAAAAATTTATCTAGTAGGATGTTATTTTCCTTCATTTCCTCAAATACCTCTTGTATCTGAAGATAGTTTTTGATGAGAAGTGGGTATGTTTATATGGGTGCATATGTATAGATGTGTATCTGTGTTTATATGTCTACATGTGTGTGTTCAGAAGAAATTAGTTACCTGCAACCAATGAAAATGAAGATCCAACACCTTGAAGACTTCGAGCCACAAAAAGCAGCACATAGGCACCAGAAAAAACAAACACTGGGCAAGAGAACATAAAGGTTAGCATATTGCCTTAGATCCTCGAGCTATGAGAAAATATGCCTGTTATGTATGCGTTTAAGGATGCTAGCTCCTATGTTTGGGTATTCTTTCTAATCCCCTGATCTTCTGGTCAGAACTGTTTTGTAATTGACCTCATGACTAAGAAACCACTGAAGCAGAAAACAAAATCATGAGCTCTGGCCAAGTTTGTAGTGTTGTTATATTAACCCAAAAGCAAAGTCACCACATAGTGGGCAGAAGGTTGGGTTTCTCGATTTTTCTTCTATAAGCCCAACATCCTGCCCATGGGAATTAGGACTGTACATAAAGTTCAGTGTCCTCGGCTGGAAATTGGTCCACAGAGCCTACCCTGAGTACTCCATATGCATCAACCAGACTGAGTCTTTGCCACTATTGTCCCCTATATGAATCAACTGGTGTATGGGGACAATAAGCCACACATACTTAAAGAATCATAAACATAAAGTAGAAAATAGTATCTATCACTTAGTCAAACTCTACCCTTCATATTAGAAGATGTTTTAGGCAAATAATTCAGGGAGTATTTATTAAGTAACCACTGACTGAATAAGGAATCCTGGTGGTGGCGTATGAGAACTCTGAAGGCCTAGAAGATAGGGAGTTGCACTGCCAACCCAAAGGCAGGTGGTTCAAATCCACCGACTACTCTGAGGAAGAAAGATGGGCAATCTCCTCTTCTGTAATTTACAAATTCTGAAAACCACTGGAGGATCGGCTGTGAGCCAATTCTGATTTGATAGCAGTGAGAGAGAGAGAGTGGTGTTATAGTGGTAACATTTGTGACTGTTAACTGAAAAGTCAGCAGTTTGAATCCACTCGCAGCTTCTCAAAAGAAATAAGGGCAGCCTCTTCCCATTTACAGTCTCCTCCCATTAAGATTACAGCCTCAAAATCCCAGTAGAGGGTTCCTCTATGTTGGATCCCCCAGGGTGAGTGACAACGGGTCAGTGTACCCAAAAACATCTTGGTTCATACCCTTAAAGACACTCATTCTATTACAGACTAACCCACATGGATCTAAGAATCAAACACTAAATCACAAGGTGCTGGTGGTAAGATGCTGAAACAGTCTAGACATGTCTAACCTCTAATTCCAAAATAAAGCATCGTAGAGAGAAAACTCACTCCCAAAGTGCTTGAATCAGCAGAAGGTTAATCCCTTTGTCAGATCATTATAGAGGTATTTTGATTATGCTTATAATAGTGTCCCATTACTTCTCAACATGCTCAAATGAGCTCACTGTCTCCCAAATACACACATGGTTAGTCAAGGAGGTTAACAAGGAGGTTGTCTGGCCTCGGATGCTCTCTTACAGGTTGTTCAATATCTACTCTATGTCTACAACCAGGAGAAGATAAAATAGATGAATGGGACCTTCTAAGAATCAAAT